GCACTTCACTACATCTCTAGGCATCTTTTAATCTCTTACACCTCTAGGTTTCTTGATACCCCTTGCAACTCTTGATACTTCTTAACATTTCTTGGTTTATTGCTAATCGACTCCTTTCATGGCCATTGGTCTTATTGAATTTTCGGCCTTGTTTTTGTCTCCTCATTAATTCGTTCTCTTGTAATTATTGGGGTGTGCATGTTTTTTCGTTTAAGTATTTGTGTGTGTGTTTGTGGTATTTACGATGTCAATAGCTTGCTGTGAGCTACTACTTTCGTTTTAATTTCAAGATTTTTTGTGTGTTTGGTGAAATCTTTTTATTTTCTTGTTTTTAAACTAAACTAGATTGACTAGTTTTATAGCCTTGACTAATTCAGAATAATTAAGTCACATTATTATAAATGTGTCTAATAGTTTATTTAAATATTTGTCAAAGATAAAATTTATTCTTCTTTAAACAGAATAAATTCCTATATTTTATCCTTTTTATTGCACAATTGCTTTTATATGCTATATGCTGCTTTTAATTTATATGAGCTTTTTATTTTATACAAAAAATATTAATAAAGATAAGTAAATTTTGTTAACAATTTATTTATTTATATATTTATTTGTATTTAAAATTATTTTATTTTGCCCGAGTAACGATATTTGTAGTAAATTATGTTAATACAATAGTTTTTATGCACATATAATTGTATACACCCTGTATATCACAACTGCAAATATTGTTAAGTAACAACCTTGGAACGCCTTTAACATTCCTTCGTTCCTATTAAAATTGTGGTTTTTTTTTTTTGCATGGATTTATCCTTTATATTTTGGGTTATATAATAATTTAATTTTATAGTAAACAATATTAATATTATTTGTATGAACATTGAAAGTGTGCGATTTTTTTATATCCCTAAATGAAACAGATTTATTTGACATATTTCTCACGTTTGTTTCACAAGATTTTAGTATTCATTTGGTATAGTTGCATAAAAGACGTTAAAACAAATTGCAAAATAATCAGAAATTGCTTGTCAATGTTCATAAATATTTATTAACATGGCTTTGAAAAGTTTTATGGGTTTTGATGACACTAATATTGACTTGTTTGCGCTTATAAAGCTTCGTCATATGACGTAACGAAACTTTTCGAAGCGTTTCAAAGCGTATCGAAGCGTTTCGAAGCGTTTCAAAGCGTTGCAAAGTATTACGATGTAATTGTAATTAAAACCTTATTGTGGCTTCCAGTAGGCACGACTACAAGCGCTGCAAACAACACAACTTCGACCGCGACAACGACCACGTCTAACTTCAAAAGACAGGTATGTAGGTTATTTAGACTGTTTTTCCTCTGGCATGTTGGTTGAACTACTAATGTAATGAAACTGTCAATTGTCAATTTCAGAATACAATCGATTCTGCATCAATCAAAGAGAACACGGCACGGATTGCTCAAATGCAGGTATGGAGGTCATTTTTATATGTATTTTTGTTCTAAATTTAATAATGCAAACGATGGTTTCTTAGGAAATTATGATCTCGACTTTAAATATTAGCACAGCCGTCGGCGGCTAGTTTATGT